GTAAAATGAGATGTCTATGAAATAAATTGTCTATAAAATAAGCTTGTCTAGGAATTAGTTGTCTATGAAATAAGCTTTTCAGTGAATTGATTGTCTGTAAGGTAGCATGTCTGTGAGTTGAGTGTCTGTGAAATAAGTGTCACCCATTTCTAATTACATAAATTATATATATCGTGCTTAAATTTCCTGTGCCTCCAATTCTTTATGTTGACCTTTGGATAGGTAAAGCCGTAAAATGATCCAATATAAGATTTAAACCTTTTGATTAATTAATATAAAATCGTGCGAAGGTATCAACTTTATTACATTTAAAAATATTCTGTAATGACGACAAGAAAAATTATTATAGCCAGGTTGCATGTAAAAAAAGAAATTTAATAAATATATTTTATATTTTGACATTTATCCAACTATCTAACACAGAGTATACAGTTGTTTGAATTCATTTTAAAGAATCTATAATAACAGATATTTATTTTTAATCAATAATCTTTTTGCATTATCATCTGAACTGTTAAGTTTCATACACCATCACAACATCATTGAAAATTTTTTGGTTTACAAACTGTAGCTTAGTCTTTTTCTTTTCTTTTACTAGTTGTTTCGCTTTGCGTTAGAAATTTCATATTCACCGAGGTTTCGTCTTTCGCCAGAGGTTTCACATTTTTGCAAAACAGTTATAATATTTCAAATGTATTTAATTGACCATTTAAAGTAGATAATATGAAATCACGTAAATCGCTGTGTAAAATTTCATTTCACATAAAATATAAACCTTGCAATATCGATCACTAATATTCAAATACTGGGTAAAAATTAGAAATAATATACAATCGTAAAAAATAAAAGAAATTTAAACCTCGGCAGCAAAACAATATATCATGACTAGCAGATAGAAATTCATTAAATGAATGTTTGATGATTGCACTTTTAGAATCATAGATGAGATTAGAGGTTTCTTGAAACTGGCGAAAAGTGGTGAAACTGACAAAAAGTGGCGAAACTAACAAAAATGGTAAAACAATTGAAGGTGGTGAAATGGATCAAGTCTAAGCAAATTTTGAAAACATTACCAGTTGATTAAGTGGTTAATTGGGGATGAGAAAAAAAAAGTCAATAATAAAAATTTTCTTGAATCTATCAAAGTTAACACAATAATTTATCAAGCATTAATACCTACATGACAATGATACGCGCCAGCTAAATCATGTCAAAAAAATAAAACAATTCTGAAAAGCTAGGACAGTAATTCTCATTCATCATATCATGATAACCACTCGAGGTACAAACGAAATCCTCATTTCTGTTAATGCCAACGACACATTACTAATTCGGTCAACTTTGCAACTTTTAAATTGAATTTTATAATCTCACATTAGTTTAATGCGATGGTTTTGTTCAAAAAAATAAACAAAATTAAAAGCTTCGTTAACTTGTGTCAGAGGAATGAATTAAGTGCTATATGAGAATTATTATTCACTATATTAATGTAAAATTCCAACTCCGAATTTATTTAAGACTGAGCATAGGTCATAAGACTTTATTGAGTAACTATTCATGAAGTCTTCTTGAACTTCCTGCTATATGTAAACATTTAACAAATTTTCCCAATATTTTATTGTTTTCTAATTTGTCTAATTTACTTTCAAATAAGCAGAGATCGTAAAATCTAAATCAAATATTCCATCATAATTATCCACCTTAAAAGATAACTTATAAATTTAATAAACTAACTTATGATTTACGTTCGTCCTTTCAACACTAATAGTAATCCATGAGATGATCTTGACGAATGGGTAAAAATTCCTCCTCATTCAAAGAACCCTCAGAATCAAATAAACTATTGGAAAGATCTAAATTAACAAGAGTATTATTTACATGGAGAGTTTTTGTTGCAATCGGCTTAGAATCTGGTTGATTACCATGAAGACATTAAAGAGACTTTACTAATGCCTTTATCCCTTCTGTACCAATTTGATTACAGCTATGGATGAGAATCAAATCTTTGATAATCGTTTTAATCGTTAATCAAATTAGAATCGATTCTCATTTTTGTGTAATCGTTATAATCGTTTCTATAAAGGATTACATATTTTTGAATCGATTCTTGAATTAGAATCGATTCAAACAGCGCTATATGTACGTAATTTACACTAAGATTTTTCAATTTTTGTCGATCATTAAGAGTATTCAATTTTGCCCTGTCCATTTTACCAAAAACGTTTATGCTGTGTAATAAGTTTGCCGTGTACACTTATGAGATGTAAATAGGCTTTCCTATATATAGTTTGTTTTCGATAATTTTCGATAATTTGTGTTCTGGTCGTGCATATGATCGTCAAAACAATTTCCTCGCAATATCTAGAAAAGGAAATTTTGCTTCTTCCGTTTTTGAATATATATACTTATACGTATACTTATACGTATACTTATACGTATACTTATACGTATACTTATAAGTATACTTATACGTATACTTATATATGTACAGAAAAAAAAATTTCCTTACGAATTGTTAAAAGAGGATTCGTATATGTTAAATAATGTCTTTTGTATCGCTTTTATGACTATTCCATCCTACATTTATTTATAGCGTTGATTATTATTTTCATTATTTTAGTCTGTTTTCATCGGATTTTTTGCTGGCTTGATGAACTGATAATCACTGATCTTCAAAGAAATGGTGAGAAGCCATAACGAAGGATTTGAATGAATCTGCTCATTGTCGACTTATTTTGTTACTTGATCTTCATTGTACGTGATAAACCAGTTTTCTCCCCTCATATAGGAAGATCCCAAAAATCCTGAGTTAAAGATTGCTAAAAACTTTACTATTATAGTATAAATTTCCTTGAATCGATTTTATACTATATGGATCATCTAATTTATTTTGTGTAAACAATTGCTAGTAATCTTATGACATCGTGTGATTTACAATATAGTGCTGTGTTTATTTAAACAAGAACTAGGAATTATCGAGTTTAATTCTATCAATAATAGCTCATATTCCTGCTTCTTACCTGTTTATATTATTGCGCATAACATAATACTAGCTATATAAACCAAAACTACATGCTGTATCACATTGAAATTAATTACTAAAGTTTTCTTATACAGATTCTAAAAATGGCAAATAATGGCCTATGTGTTTTTAGATGTTCCGAATCAGCTTTACTCTAACCAATTATTTTAGAATAAATCTATCCTAAAGCATGTTCATAACAATATTATATTAAAATTTTTTTAACATTTATATTTAAATTTCGAATTTAATATCATGAACTATTTATAAATATTTACTACAGATAAAAAATTTAACATTAAAACTTATAAATTTTCGACTTTGTCACGAGAGTACTTAAGAATATATTTATCTTAAAATATTTATCCTAAATTGACTGTTAAAGTAAAGCAATTCACTCCACATATCTAAAAACATGCGGGCTATTATTTACTATTTTTAGAATGCGTATAAAAAATAATAAAACTAATCATATCCTGTTTATTATACTGATTACTAGATTCAAGAAATCTTAATTATTAATTTCGTGTAGTACCATATAAAGTTTTACATAACTAACTGAATGCTCCGATTTAATGTGAAAAAAATAACTCTGCACATGAAAATCTATTCAAAGAATGTGGTATGATTAATTAAAGAGTAATAACGATAAAATTTGTTTTTTTGATATTTTAGAATAAAGAGTAACAATATTCTTTGCATGTTTTCATATGCAATTACTACATGTACTTATTCTAAAATACTAAAAAACAATCTTTTTTTACCATTGTATCTTCTTAATTGATCGTTACCACATTCTTTGAATATGTTTTCATGTGCAAATTTATTTTTTTCACATTAAATTAGAGTTTTAATTATAAAATTAATTATCATAAGATGGTAAAAAGAAACCTGCCACATTTTAAATCACTATACGCTAAATATATGTATATATACATATTAAATATAAAATATATAAATATATGAATTCCTCCGATATATAATTTTTATGAATTATCGTATTTTACAATAAAAAAATCTACATCGTGTTCATATTTAATCTTATTATATTCATTAACAAAATGCCATCTACTATAACAACAATATGTTACATTACTGATTGACAAGAAACCACCACGAGCAAAGCCCTTACTATCGTTAAGGCTGCTGGAGTAATGTGTCTTAAAACCAGTGTCACCCTCTTAAATATTCTTTTAATTGGTTTCTATTCTCAAGATGATGACACTTCAGATCAAACTCTAACAACTTTTTCTCCTGAAGATATACTTTTGGTAACTGGCAAATTTCATTTTGTTGAAGACTTAAATGACGAAGGAAAAAAATTTCCTGTCTTAAAGGTATGTTTAATGTTAATAATGTTAATAAATTACAGTTCATATATGTATGTATATACATATATATATATACATTTTTTTTTTTTTTTTTTTTTTTTTTTTTAGATTGTTTTGCACCACGTCATTCAACTCGCTATCGATCCAACTGATTTGCCTGCATTTCCCCTATTAATCAACATGACTGCCATTGTAGTTGAACCCTCACAAAATGAATCTAATCATGATGACATTTCATTAATTGTAGAAACCAGAGACTTCATAGACCAAGACCATACTGTCCTTAAATTAGAATGTTATCATCTGAGATCGGCACAACACCTTATTTCCACTACAACCTCTACAAAAAAAGGATCTACACTTTTTATGAATGGGAAACTCTTAATTGATGATGACTACACTTTTATTGTTCACCTCCATGGTATAAACTTTATTGAACATCAAAAATCAATCAATGTAAGAAGTCCAACTAATCTCCCGTGGCTAAGTGGATCAAATGAACCTCCAGCAAATGAATCAAGTGCTGAAAAAGCTGCATGCACAATTGCTTCAAGAGTAAAAAGTGGTAGGAGAAAGAAAGCATCGACTACAATAAGATCATATCTTGGTCTAAAAAATTGTCCCAAAATAACTGATCTTGCTAAAAAAGCACTAAATCAAAATCAAAGTGTTGATGTTCCTGACCCCTCCACCCCTTAAGTTATTTAAGATTGGAATTTTTTTTTTTTTTTTTTAAGATTTTTATCTTTTTTTTTTTTTTTTTTTTTCTTAAAAATATTGTTTCTTTTTTTCTGATTTTTTTTTCTTAAATATAAAAATTCGATTTTACATTTTATTAAATAAATTATAAAAATAAATAAATAAAAATTTTTAAATAAATTATAAAATAAACAAGTAAATAAAAATTTTAATTTTTAATTAGTATAAACATTAGTCAAAACTATAAAACTCTCATCTAGGATACCGATTCAGAATTACTTAAAATAATTACAATCCGAAATACAACATAAATATCTGAAATTCCATAATAATCTACTCCGACTTACTTCAATACATTTCTCCGATTAAACTCATATATGCACCTCCTCTTTTGGCACTTTTATTGTTTGCTCCGCTACGCTCCAATTATTACTTATCTTTACTTAGTACTACTCATCTAACGCCTTATTTAATTATTAACTATTACTTAGCCTTAATTACTAACCTACTCAATGCATAACTAGATCTGTCACTTAAATTTCATCTGTATTACATATGTTACTACGCCCATTACCTATTTTATATCTACACACTTACCTTAGACATACATATACCCTATTTAGCTATCAACTATTACTTAACCTTTATTTACTAATTTTATAATCTGATCAATTTATCTCTTTAACACTAATTTACTAACCTATTTCTTCATTTAGCACTTTACTTACTTTTTTTATCATGCCTTTAATTACCGCTTATTTTATACTAACACAATCACCTTAAACTTGCATATTCCTTATTTAACTATCGCTATTACTTCGCCTTTGTTTATCCCATATCAATTCTTAAACTATTACTTAGCCTTAATTACTAACCTACTCAATACATAACTTGATCTGTTACTTAAATCTCATCTGTATTACATATATTGCTACGCCCGTTGCCTATTTTATATCTACACACTTACCTTAGACGTATATATACCCTATTTAGCTATCAACTATTACTTAGCCTTTATTTACTAATTTTATAATCCGATCAATCTTAACACTAATTTACTAACCTATTTCTTCATTTAGTACTTTACTTACTTTTTTTACATGCCTTTAATTATCACTTATTTTGTACTAACACAATCACCTTAGACTTGTATATTCCTTATTTAACTATCGCTATTACTTCACCTTTGTTTATCCTGTATCAATTCTTAAATTAAATTAATAATAAAAGAAGTAATCTAAAATGTATAAGACACAAGTAATAAATTATTAAAATAATATAATAAATTATATTTAAATAATTTTATTAAATTAAATAGCGCAAATATTAAAAAATAAATAAATAAATATACAATAAAAAAAAATTGAAAGAAAACTTATATCTCGTAAAAATATATAAAAGACATTATTTCGCTTTCTGTATTTTATTACGGATCTCCTATTGATAAATAAATTCTAAATAAAATTTATTCGTTTACACAATACGTACCTCTCTTATTAATATTAATTTCTACTTACTGTTCCATAAATATACCTAAACATATCTCAATACTTATA